CCTTAATAGCCAAATGGTCCTCCCTTTTTTTTTTTTTTTAAGATGATCAATAATAAATACCCTATGGGTGCCTGGGTGGCTCTCTCTGTTGAATAAATAAATAAAATCTTAAAAAAAAAAAAAAAAGAATTTGCTATTATCAAATACTATCTATGAGTGTCCTTAATAGCCAAATGGTCCTCCCTTGTATTTATCACAAAGAGTGATCAATAATAAATACCCTATGGGTGCCTGGGTGGCTGAGTCAGTTGAGCGTCCGACTCTTGATGGTGGCTCAAGTCCCGCATGGGGCTCTGCACTCAATGGGTCAGTGGGGAGTCTGCTTTGGACTCCCTCTCTCATTCATTCATACATGAATGAATGAATGAATGAATGAATGAATGAATAAATAAGATCTTTAAAAAATAATAATTACCCTAAAGCACAGGAACAAAAAGAAAAAATAGGTAAATTCTACTTCATCAAAATGTAAAACTTTTGTGCTCAAAAGACACTATCAGATACAGAGCAAAACAGCAATCCACAAAACGGGAGATAGTATCTATAAATCATACACCCGATAAGGGATTAAAACCCAGAATGTATAGACTCCTATAATTTAGCAACAAAAATAATCCAATATAAAAATCAGCAAAGGACTTAAATAGCCAATAAACACATGAAAAGATCCTCAACATCACTAATCATTAGGGAAATGCAAATAAGAACTCAATGAGATACCACTTCACACCCATTAGGACAGCTATTATCAAAAACAAACACAAACAAAAAACATCAGTAATAAATAACATGATGTCTCATCATAAAAAAGTGTTATGAATAAAAATAAAAGGAAAGGGATGAGACATATCAAGTGTTGGGGAGGGTGTGGAGAAAACAGAACCCTTGTGCACTGTTGGTGGGAATGTAAAATGGTGTAGCTGCTATGGAAAATAGTATGGTGGTGCTTCAAAGAAATAAAAAATACAATTACCATATGATTCAACAATTCCATTTCTGAGTATAAACCCTAAAGAACTGAAAGCAGGGACTCAAAGAGCTATCTGTACATCCATGTTCACAACAGCCTTATTTGCAAAAGACGGAAGCAGCCTAAATGTCCATCTACAGAAATGTGGTAAATACATACAATGGAATATTATTCAGCCTTTAAAAGGAAGGACATTCTGACACATGCTACAACACAGATGAACCCTGAAGACATTTAAGTGAAATATGCCAGTCACAAAATAACAAATTATGCATGATTCCACTTATATGAGTAATCTATAACAGTCAAATTCACAGAGACAGCAAGTAGAATCGTAGTTACCAGGGGCTGAGAAAGGGGGAATGGGGAATTATTCTTTAATGGGTTTTAGTTTAAGAAGATAAAAACATTTCTGGAGATATGTTTGGTGATAATTGCAAAACAATGTGAGTGTACTTAATGTCACTGAACCACACACATAAAAGTGGTTAAAATGGTAAAATTTATATGTATTTTAAACTCCTCAAAATTAAATAAATAAAATAAAAACTATCCTAAAGTCCACATACTATTTTTTGGCAAAATATTCTTTAACATATTATCAGCTCAGAGTCAGACACTTCTTAGAGGAGATAACAGCATTCAACAAGATTTGTGGAACCAATTTGTCTTAGAAGGGCTAACCAAAAAATGTTATTACGTAAAATTAGATAGTCTGAGGGTTCTTTATTGAAATTCTTTAAAAATGTAGCTAATTTAATTATGTTCATATTTAGAACTTTGGGATCTTATCTCTCTCATTTAGCTATTTTGAAAAACATAAGGAATTTGGTTTTGTATTTTTAATGAAAATTTTGGTCCTGTAACAGGCATTTCCTCAGTACACTTGTGTGTGTCCTAGATAATATTCTTAGAATTTATAAAAGAATACCAAATTGCTATTATCAAATACTATCTATGAGTG